GTAGCGCATGTAACATACCACACGTATATTATACTGTAGTGATATATTTTAATATATTTCTAATCTCATTGATATTACTAATCTTTCGCGGACTGTATATGTAAATCTGTACTTCATATTCTGTATCACTATTGCATTTGTCCAATAAATTATCTTTTACACTTATACACTTTTCGAATCTCCTATTCCTTCCTATATCTCCATCACTCTCCTCCTAATACATCCTTAAAAACTAAGTTTTTAAAATGTTTTTTGGAAAAATAAAAATCCAAAGTGGTAGCACATGTAACATACTACACGTATATTACATTGCATTGATATATTTTAATGTATCTCTAGTGGTATTGTTACTGCTAATCTTTTGTAAACCATATATGTATGTATATCTGTACTTCGTATACTGTATCATTATTGCGTTTGTCGAATAAATTATCTTTAAACACATATACACGTTGATATTCTTTTACCCTATGCGAATATTCCAGAGTACGAATGAGTTCTGTCTCTTTCGTACTCTCCTCCGTCCTAACTGCATCCTTCTCCTTCTCTTCCAACCTTATGCTTCTACACCATTTTTCGGCTATGCTGCATTTTCTCTGCAATTACTTTCATTCCATCTGCAAGTTGCAAAAAGTAAAGGGATTTTTTGTAAGTACCCTATCGCATTTTGATCTACGTATATTATATTGCATTGATATATTTTAATATATTTCTAATAGTATTGACATTACTAATCTTTCGCGGACTGTATATGTACATCTGTACTTTGTATACAGTATCATTATTGTATTTGTCCAATAAATTATCTTGCAACACTTATACACTTTTCGAATCTCCTATTCCGTCCTATATCTCCATCACTCTCCTCCTAATACATCCTTAAAAACTAAGTTTTTAAAATGTTTTTTGGAAAAATAAAAATCCAAAGTGGTAGCACATGTAACATACTACACGTATATTACATTGCATTGATATATTTTAATGTATCTCTAGTGGTATTGTTACTGCTAATCTTTTGTAAACCATATATGTTTTAAAATGTTTTTTGGAAAAAAAAGTCCAAAGTTGTAGCGCATGTAACATACCACACGTATATTATATTGTAGTGATATATTTTAATATATTTCTAATGGCATTGATATTACTAATCTTTTGCGGACTGTATATGTAAATCTGTACTTTGTATACTGTGTCATTATTGCATT